AAAAAAAAAAAAAAAAGGATTCTCTCTCCCTCTGCCCCTCCTTCTCCCACACTTGCTCACATGCTCTCTTAAAAAATAAATAAATAAAATAAAGCCCTCCACGGCTCCCCACCATCCCAAGAACAAAGCCCAGCTCCCTAACCTGAAGTCTGAAGTCTCATTTGTCTCATGTCAGCCTACTCCTTGTAACTCCATCAGGAGCTGGGCCTTTGCACAAGCCTCTCTCTCTGGAGCACCTACTCCCTTGGTAAGAGCAAACTCCTCCAGGAAGCCTTCCCTGATGCCCCCCCCCCCCCCATTGCTAGGTTAGGTGCCTATCTTGGGGGATCTCGCTTTCCATTATAACCTTCATTTCTCTGCGCCAGGACCACCTATGTCTACGTCTGTCTCCTCTGCAGCCAAGGAGGCCCATGGGGCAGGGCGTAGGCCTAACTCATCTTGGGGTCCCTCCCTGACATTAACCAGCACAGTGCCTGCCACTGAGTGAGGGCTCAAAAAATGCTGGATGAAGGACTGAAGAACCACACAAAAGAAAGAATACTGAAAGGCACCTGGGTGGCTCTGTTGGTTAAGCCACTGCCTTCAGTTCAGGTCATGATCCCAGAGTCCTGGGACTGAGTCCCATATCGGGCTTCCCCTGCTCCGCAGGGAGCCTACTTCTTCCTCTCCCTCAGCCTCTCCCCCTGCTTGTGCTCTCTCTCTGTCAAATAAATAAATTAAATTAAAAAAAAAAAGAAAGAAAGAAAGAAAGCTCACACACCACTCACTAGCTGGTTCTTGGGCTAAAGTTGGCAGCTCTCCCTCCAGAATCCCCAAGAACATCACACAGACCCAAACCATGGTCTGGGGAATGAAGAAGAACCACTTCACCAGACCAGGCAACCAGACCTCCCAGAATCTTGCCAGCCTCAACCAAAATATAAAGCTCAGTTCCCAGAATCACAACAAGTACATCTTTGTCAACGGCATGCCGGAAGCCAGCTCACTATCTGCTTTCCCCAAGGTCCTCCCTAAGTTCAAGATCTCCTGCTTCCACCCAACACGGACTCCACCCCATGTCCCCCTGGACAGAGGTTCAACCGCAAAACTCCCTGCTTTTCATTTTCTTTTTAGATTTATTTATTTGAGAGAGAGAGAAAGAACATGTGCGCACGGGGGTGGGGAGAATGCGGGGGGAGGGGCAGAGGGAGAGGGAGAGAGAAACCCAAAGTAGATGCCACGCTAAGCTAAGTGAGGAGCCTGACTCGAGGCTCGATCTCACAACCCTGAGATCACAACCTGAGCTGAAACCAAGAGCTGGACGGTTAACCAGCTGCACTACCCAGGCACCCCAACCCCCTGCTTTTCAAAAGCAGAACGCCTCTTTATTCATGAGGATATTATGAGGACTGCCTACAATAAAGTGTGGATGTGGTACAAAAGGAAGTGGGTCAGCTGCTTATTTTTTAAAAGATGGGGCAACATGCTGGTTCTCAAAGGTGACAGGCACTGGGAAGCATGGGAGATCAAGGAGGATCTGGAAGTCGCCTGGACTCCCTATTCCAACATCCAGCCAGGTGGTCCCCAGATCTCACTAGTGAAACTTCCCAAATACCTCTCTGTGCTCTCGGCCCCTCTCCACCTCCTCCTCTCTTGCAGGATGAGCATACCAAGTTTCTAGGCCAGCCCCCACCAGGCAGGTGGCTCTAAATCCTGCTCAAGATCCTTCTGTGGCTCCCCACCAATGCCAAGAGAAAAAGCCAAGTTGCTCAGCATGACATTCAAGGCCTTCCTTCCCCTGCTTGGGGCGTCCTCCATACCTCTCAGCCAGCAGTCCGATCAGACCAGAAAAACCTAGACATGGCTCCTGAGACACATCAGCCTCACTTTTGTCTTCGCAGAAGCTGTTCCTTTTTCTCACCCAGCAAACTCCTATGTATGCCTCAGAACCCTATCCAAGGGCTCCTCTTCTGTGACCCCCCAGAAGAATACTCTCATCCCCCTAGACCCATCTACCCAACCCCTCTACCTCCTTCTGTCTCAAGCCCTGAGCGTACTGTAGGAATAACATCTGCAGCCAGCCTTACCATCCCCAACAAGGCTGGGGCTCCTTAAGGCCAAAGAATGATGTGTACATCAAACACATACCATACTTCCTATCCTGTGCCCACCCACACCCCCAGACAGGAATGGACCCCACGCTGGGGACAGACACACTCATCCTCAAGAAACTGACTTCATCCATATTCCATACAACGGCCATGGGGACCTAAAGCATAAATCAGATCATGCCCTTCCCTGTTCAAAACCCTCCCACAAATTCCCAGTGTCCCCGGATAAAGACCAAGGTCTGCAGCCTGTAAAGGGAGACCGTGCGTGATCTAGGACATCGCTCCTCTGGCTTTTGCCCAGAACCTTCTCTGGGGTACTCTTACCACTCCTTGGATGCCAGCTCCTACATCCGCTGCCGAGAAGCCTTCCTGGACTTCTCCAGCCACTGCCTCTGGACTTCTCATGACACCTCCCTAGTGCCCTCAGGATAGAGCTCAAAATCAGTCCTCCACCCTCTGGTTCACGGTTTGTCTTCCTATATTTCTGTCCTAGCACAGATATGTATTCTGTGTCATAGCACAGATTTCTAGGTCCTCAAAAACATCAGCCCTCCTGCTATCAGGCCTTTGCATGGGCTATACATACTCCTGGCCTAGGGGGGCCTTCTGTTCCCTCTTTCATATGCTTTTGGTCTTAGCTACAGGCCAAGCTAAATCAGAGGTCCTCTGGGGTTCCCACTCCTTGGGGGTGGGTCTGCTTCCCCCACTGGACCAGGAGCCCATAAGGGTAAGGATGGGGCCTTTGCATAGGCTGTTCCCTCTGGAATGCTCTTCCATCCTCCTGGGTGATTCCTGTTGGTCCTTTGGCTCTCAGCTCAGACATCTCCTCCCCCAAGGAAGCCCTCTCTCTTCTCCCAGCCCCCAGGCCAGATACTTCCTCTGGCTCCCAAAGGCCCCTGGGGTTCCTCCATCACAGTTCCAACCACTCTAGGTTTTTACTGTCTATTCATGTGTTTGTCTTCCCCACTGTATTTTAAGCCCCAACTCATCACAGATTGTTAGAGTTGCCTTGATCTGTTATGTCCCAGTAGCAAATATAATGTCTGGCATGTGAATGGGAAAAAAAAAAAAAAATGCTTTTACTGGACTACTTTAAAAATAACAGTATTACCCTAATACCATTTACTGTGTACTTACCATGTGCCAGGCACGTTAAGTAATGATCTCATTGAATTCCAACAACCCTATGAAGTCAGTACTAGTATGAATGCTACCTGGGAGGAGGGGAAGCTGGACCTCACAGAAAGGAAGCTGCAGTGGAACCCAAATTTGAAGCAGGTGGTTGGGCTAAGAGCCCAAGTTGCTAACAATTATTCAGAATATCTCTCACTGATGCTCTTGGCTTGTAACTGTCCATCTGGGCCTGTGTGCAACTCCCCCACCAGGCTTCCAGGCCTCCCAGGACAGGGCCCACGTTGGCTGCGCTTCAGAGCAAAGGGCCCGGACCAGAACAGGGATGTGGGAATGCGGTGAGTGGGATTAATGAGTGCACAAATGAATGAATTAGCGAATGGGTGGGTGTGTGACCCACGCGGCCCCACTCACCCTCGATGAGCCACTCGCAATTGCCATTGACGCTGTAGTTGCCCGCACCATCCGTCACGAAGCCGGGCGCCTCCCGCAGCACTTGCCGCTGCCCCTTACAGTCCCCTGCCTGGGCCCCAGGGAACAGCTGCCCCAGCAGGGCCAAAGATAGAGCCAGAGCCACTGCCGGAGCCTTGCCCGGGGCCATTGCCGCTTCCCGCACTGACTCTGACAGACTAGGACAGGCCTTATTAAAGACCGGGAGAGGACCCTCCCTCCGGCGTGAGGCCCTGCAAATGTGACCTCTATAGACGGGACATGGTCTTGTAGACCACGGAGGTCCAGGAGTCTCAGACCCCACGAAGGGAACCGCCGCTGTAGACGGGCTCTGGAAGCCACGGGGAAGGCCCTACAGACCCATGGAAGGACCTGTAAATGGGGTCGTTATGGACGGGGCCGACCCCTAGGGACCGTGGGAGTCCCTTATAATCACGGGTCCCCATAGGCTATCTGACCCCATAAACGGTGTCCGGCAGTTATAAACGCGGGCCACTGCAGGCCGAAACGGACCTTATATACGGGTCGGTCCCCAGGGGGCGAAGGGCTCTACAGCCCGGCGGGGTCCTCTATAGAGGGTGCGGGTCGTGCCGGGCCAGGCCCAGAAGGTCCGAGAAAAACCCCTAGAGCCGGGGGCGGGGCGCGAGCGGGTGTCGGGGGCGGAGCCCGTCTTCAGGGGCTCGGGCCTGGACCCCATAGACGCACTCTCTTGCTCACCCACCCGCGCCTCCCTCCGGAGCCGGATGGACCAGATCAGAGAGACGAGGGGTTGTTCGGGCCAGAGCGGCCTGGGAAGACCCGCTGGGAGGACGAGGGGGCGGGGGCCGAGCGGCCGCTGTGGGAGGAAAGATGGAGAGGAGGCGAGAAGTCGCAGAGACGCTGGTCAGAGCGGCCCTGGGAGGACTGCGGAGCACCCAACCCCACCCCTCCAACAGGGGGAGACTTCCGGAAACTTCCCCGCCCATTTGTTCCCAGACGCGTGCGCAGCAGTGATCGCCTTGGCCTGCGAAGAGAGAATTACACACGCGCAGTGCTGAAATCGCGACCCAGCCTCGGGGTACAGGTGGTTGAGGAAAGTTTGTGCCACTGGAGGGCGCCTCTAGCTCTGACTGGAGAAGGAACGGTAAAAATAGAGGAGCCGCGCAGTAGGAGAGTTCTGTTAGATGCTTCAGATATTCAGTGCTCCCAGATTCGGGGCCCGTATCAAGGCCAGGTTATACAGGCCCTCCCAAAGTGCCATTTCACGGGTGGACACACTGAGGCCCAGACCCTGGAATGGTTCATGCTCCGCCCCGCCTCTGAGAACCATCAAGATGTAAAGAGTCCATCTTATAGATAAAAACTCAACGAATCCGCTTTATTTTGGCAAGAAGGGAAAAAGTCTTTTTGCCGGGGACCTAAGGGAGGGCCCCCGGATGGAGACAGGGGTGGGCAGAGTTCGGGTCCGAGGTCACAGAGATCCAAGGGAAGGTTTCAGAGTCAAGACCAGATTCACAATATCCGTCCCAGGAGCAATGGCTGGGGGTCGCGGAGTCCTGGAGAGTCACGGGCAGGGTCCCGGCGATCGTCACTGGTGTTCCGGGGTCCGGCGGGATCAGAGGTCTCGGAGGGGGCCAGGGGGCCGTAGGTCTCGAAACAGCGGGAGCCCAGAATCCGGTGCCGCTCGGGGCAGGGGCTGAGGGAGGGGACGGGGAGAGCGGCTCCCGCGGGACCGTTTGGCACAAAAGTCGGGGGAAGGGGCGGGGAGGAGCGGGACAGTACGCACCCCTACCTGGGCGCGCGGGGTGGGGAGGGTCGGGAAGGCCTGGGATGGCAGAACCCTGGGGCCGGGATAGAGCGGGGATCCGGAGCCCGGCCGGGGCCCGGCACGCGGACCATGGGGTGGGGGTGGGCAAGGGTGCTCAGACCGGGGGTGCGGTGCCCCCGGCCCTGTGCATGCTGAAGTATTCGGTGAAGCCGGTGTGCGGCGCCGCCGTCTGGGGCACGAGCGGCTGGTAGGGCGGCGTCGGGCCATCCCAGCTCGGGTCGGCCGCCTTGGGGAACCGAGCGGGAAGGGGCGGGGAGGCCGCGCCCGGCTCGGCCATGGTCACCACGCGGCCCCTCGGGGCCACCGCCGCCACCACCGCCGTCTCCTCCACCTGCTTCCCGGCCTGGGAGGGGGGTCAGGGTCAGAGGCCGTCCAGGACCCACGGGGGGCAGATGCGGCCCCGAAGTCCCGACCCCCTCCCCGCAAAGGAGCCCCCCCCTCCCGAGGTGCGGGCGCAGGTGTCAATCAGGGAAGGAGCGGGTGACCGGGCGCCTGGGCAGCGGGGCCAGGTACTCAAGGGGCGGCGTCGGAGCACGCGGGGCGAACTCCGGCGGCGGCCGGAGAGTGGGGGGGAGAGCCGCGGAAGGCCGGTGGCGGGGGCACGGCGCGTGGCGTCTGCGGGGGCGTGCGCAACAGCGCCAGGACCCAGTCCGGCAGGGTGGGCGCGGGCGCCGGGGTGCGATCGCGGCGCGGTGTTGGGGCTCGGGGTGTGCGAAAGGCTGGGGGTGGGCTGAGGCGTCTGGGAGAGGGGGGCGGCGGCGGGGCCGGGAGCGGGGTCAGGTACTCCAGGGGCGGCGCCAGCAGCTCCTCGTGCGCCGGGAGCGCGGGGCTTACGGAGGAGGCGGGCGGGGGGATGGAGAAGAGCTCCGTGAAGTTGGGCACCGAGTCGCTGATGAACGTCACGTTCCCATAGACGTGCTGCGGGAAGGCCTTGTCGGTGGATTGGCTCCCTCCGGGCCCCGGGGCCCCGGCTGAGGCGATCTGCGACGTGCGCACGTGGTACGGGAAGTTCTTGTTGGCCGCAGACGGGCGGGTCATGATCTGGGGCGAGAGGCCAAGTGCTGGTTGGAGAAACACTGTCCAGGCCTCAGACCGGCTTCGTAAACATGGGGTCCTAAGGATTTCCCCTCACTTGACATCCCACAGGATTCCCTGCGGCCCCTCATCCTGGATTAGGCACCTACTCTGGGCTTGCACCTTTTTCCTCCATCCACCGCCCTGTGATGCTTCCTCCATCGGGGCCCTGATTACTGACTTATTGCTGGTCGGTTAAGTGTCAGCGTCCTTCACTGTGCGGTATGACAGCCACTGGCTGTATGGAGCTATTTATGTTTAAATTAATTAAAAGGAAACAACGAAAATTTTTGTCTTCACACTAGCTACATTTAAGTGCTTAGTAACCACATGTGGATAGTAGCTACTGCATTGAACAGCACAGAGTACAGAATATTTTCATAAACAGAAAGATCAATTGGGACAATACCGGGTAGATTCTAGAATGCTAGCACCATGAAGGCAGGAATTTGTTCAGTTCCCTGCTGAATCCCCAATACCTTCTAGAACAGTACCTGGCTCATAAGCGCTCAGTAAATATTGGTTGGATGTAGAGATGTGTCTAGTCTAGTAGGACACGAGGGCAGGGACTGGGTGTGACTCTAGCACTGCACATGGGAGCCCAGTATGACTTCCCAACCCCCCCCCCCCCCCAAGGCTGTGCTCAGTAAGGACAAGGAATGCGGGAGGTGGACCTGTGCTCAACTGAGCATTTTTTAGGAAAAAAACTGGCTGAAGGTGAAATATAGCTAAAAGGGCACTGCATTTCCATGTTCATTGTCCCACAGCTCATTGAGTATGGGATCTGGGGCACATTGATAAAACTACCTGATCCTCGCTGGGGAAAAGGGACTGCAGTGCCTACTTGGAAAGATGAGGAGACAGCAGAAACGCAAGCCCCTGATGCAGAGCTCAGCAAGTGATGGTTCCCAGCATTTCTCTTTCTGTCCCTTCTGATTTCCTGCAGAGTTTCCAGAAGGGCTGTGCTGGGAAGGTGAATCTTTAACTTAAGTCAGACTGTGGGTTGGAAGATGGGGGACCGGGCCTGTGACTGAGTACATTCCCCACCCAGAGCACATTGTGGACACCTGGGGTCAGGCAGGCTTCAGGGCCCTCATCAATGTCTGTATTCCTGTCTGGCTCCCCCTGCTGGAGAAGGATTGGGCTCAAAGTCCCTGCACTAATACCAAAGGCCATGGAGCCCTCGCAGGTCACCTCCCCTGTTTGGGCCTTAGTTCCTTCCCATTTCTGTAGAGTGGACTCAACAACCATTACCCATCCTGTCCTGAGACTGGTCTGACAATTAAACAAGATTTATGAACATACAGACACATGAACTGTCTCCCAGAAGGCCAGATAGGATATAAACCAGGGCAAAGAAGAGGTTTGGTGCTGATATCTTCTTGATATCACTCAGATCTAGGCCCCTGGGACCCCAGCCTGGCCCACCCCACCTGCTTCTTCCTGAACAATGGCCTATAATGGCAGATGGGAGAAGGTGACAGGGAAGGGAGGAGTAGTGACGAAGGGGTTTGGGAAAGGCAGAAGGATACAGAAGGGAAATGTGAGAGTCTGGGGACACAGGTCTGGAATGGGAATGGGAGGGGGTCAAAGAAAGAGGGTGGGGTTGTTGGAGTTGTTGAGCGCCCGACTGGCTCAGTTGGTACAGCATGTAGCTTCTTCATCACAGGGTCATGAGTTCAAGCCTCATGTTGAGTGTAGAGTTTATTTAAGAAAAAAAAAAACACGGAAAAAAAAAAAAAAGAAAGAAAACACGGGGTAGGGGGGTGGATAGGGTTGGGGAAGAGGCCAGATGGGAGCAAGGAATAGAAGAGGGTGGACTTTGGGGGGATCACAGGAGAGCAGCCTGCAGGAACCCAGCAGACTCTCAATGTCTGTTGGGTGACTAAAGGGATGAAATGAAGGAAATGGATGGAGAGCTAAAAACAGAAGGTTCAGTCTCACGCAACCTCCGCCCATTAGGCTCCCACCCGGACCTGGATGCCCTTCCTCACCAGGAACACGCCATGGGCATACAAATGGATCCCCAGCTGGATTCCATTGACAATCTTCTCCCGGGCCCACTTGGGGATCCCAAAGTTGGCGATCAGGGCCATCACAGGAACTGCAAAGAACCTGAAGGGGAGGCACTGGGTCAGCAGAGACACTGCCCCTGCCCTCCTCCCCACCCCAGGGCCCCAGATCCCCTGCCACACACACACACACACACACACACACACACAGGGCCCAGGTGGGTCCCAAGCTGGAGAAAAGCCAGTGTGACCTTCAGAAGCCAGAGGTTAAAAGGGGGCAGGAATCCCACTGGCCTGGGAGATTCTGGAAGGCAAATACTAGGTTGAATTTAACTCAGTTCCACCCCACCCCAAATCCCCAGTGCCTGAGAGGAAAAAGATGTTTGGTGAATGAATTAACAAAAGAGCATAACAATTAAGGACTCACTGTGTATCACATATATAAATTCATTAAGTCTCACAATGATGCTATGAGGGAGGTACAATTTTCATTCCCATTAAACAGGTAAGGAAACTGAGGCCAACAGAATTTCCTTGATTTGCGTGAGGTCCCACAGCTTACAAGCTTTAAGAACTGGGACCTGAACACAGGCAGTCAGGCTTAGAATCTGTCTACTGTACTGCTATGTCATGTTCAATGATAGAAAATTACAACTAGCTTTTATTGAACACTTAACTATGTGCCAGATACAAGGCCCTTACATATTGCCTGACGCATGCTCAAGAGAATGCTTTCTTTATGAGTAGGCAACCTGAAGCTCTTTTTTTTTTTTTTAATTTGGGAAAGTGATTTTTTTCCAGGTCATAAAATGAGTCAGTGGCAGACTCTGGGACAGCTGCCTCACTGAACAGGGCCTGAGAAATGGACAGCGGTTTCCAGGAAGCCCCAGGACCAGGAGACAGGGACAGGTTGAGGACCCAGCATGTCTCACCAGAGAGTGTAGGCAGCAAAGAAGGGCACATAGAAGGGCTGCTTCTCCGGGAAGTGGCGCAAGGAGATGAACACGGCGTAGGAGAACCACACGTAAGCCGCCACCTGCAGCCCAATGAGCCCATAGCCTGCCGGCGACTCATACGTGTACAGTACCTGGCCCGGGTCAAAGAACTGGACCCAAAGAAGAGGGTTCATCATAGCCCTGACCCCCTGCCCTCCTACACAGGGACCCCCAGACCCCACCCCTGGGCACCCAGGGGGCAGAGGTACTTGGTCAGGACAGAAGCATCAGGAGAGCACAAAATGGAAACAGAAGCACATAGAGGAAGAGAATACATTAGCTACCAGGGGCCCAACAAGTGGCGAGGCACCTGCCATGCGTGAGAGTTTCATTTGCATCAACTCGGTGAGTCAGGTCTTATTATCATCGCACTTCACAGAGGGGGAAACTGAGGCTAAGAAGGACACATTTGGGCCAAAGTCAAAGCCAAGGTGATATAAAGTTTTAGAGGAGCCCCCCAGGGATAGGTAAGATCTTCCTTCTTTTCCAGAAGAGGAAACAGGCAAGAATCATCCAAGGTCAGCTAGCTGGGGAGTGGGAGAGCCAGTGTGCGGGACTCCTGAACTCTCAGGCATGACATTGAGCATAAATGTGGCAGACAGTGAGAGACGGAGGGAGGAGGAAGAAGGCTCCACAGAGATGGTGAAGAGGGGAGGCAGGCACTCAGAGAGACAGATGGGCAGGCAGAAATCGCAGAGTGGGAGACAGCGAGCCAGCAAGAGTGCGATGTGGGGAAGGGCTGGCAGACCGGTGGAGGAGGTGGCCAAAAGTCTTGGGTGGGGTGTGTGGTGGGGAGGCAAGGCCTGGGCAGTGGCGGGAGGCACTCACCTCAGCCTCATAGATGAGCAGCACCACGTGGGTAAGGGTGTAGAGAGTCATGTAGACAGACAACTTCACGGAACCCGAGTGGCTGATGCGGCCCCTGGCGGCCAGCCATGAGGGGAGACAGCAGGGGTGGGGGCTGTCAGGGAGAAGTGAGCAGCCACCCCCCAGATCCACCTGTGTGCCCTGTTCCCTAGTCCAGCCACACCTCCCCCCAGCACTCCCTCCCGCCCCAGCCTGGGCACCGTGTCACCGTGAATCCCTTCCCCAGAAGGATGAGCATCAGCAGGAAGATGAGGAAGCTGGAGGAGAAGAGCAGCTTGGCTGGGAGGAGGGAGGAGAGGGTGTGTCAGACACAGGGCTCAGAGAGAGCCCGGGCACCCTTCCCCGGCCCACTTCGTTCTCACCCAAGATCTTCAGACTCTCATTGCCAATGCCATTGGTGGCATACTGGCCCCAGTAGATGCAGAAAAACAGGAGGCTCAGGACTGAGGGGAGAATGGGCAGAGGGAGGAAAGGACAAAAACTGGCATTGGGGCATCGCTGTTCCCTAGTTCTATAATCTAGACAAGCAGAATCTCTCCTTCGTCCCCATCAGGATTCTAGACCATTCCTTCCCACTGATGTCCTAGGAGACTCTGGAGTCCAGGGCCCAGCCCCTCGTCACCGGGACCCAGCTGTTCAGGCCCATAGCCACCTCCTCCTCCAGACCCAGGAGTCCAGGGCCCCAGCCCTCTCCTCCTCAGACCCAGGGGTCCAGGCCCCCAAACCCTCTTCCTTCAGACCTAGGAGTCCAGGCCCCAGCCCCTCTTCCCTCAGACCCAGGCCCCAGGCCCCCAGCCCCTCCTCTCTCAGACCCAGGTATCTGGACCCTAGGTCCCTCCTCTGACAGCACTCAAAGCTGGGCTAATCTAAACCTCACCCTCCATTCCGGCTGCCGCCATGAACATTTTATAAGTTGTATGGAGCAACTGACGACCCTTCAGCAAATCTAGAAGAGGTAGGGGAAGGGGGTTCACAGACAGGAAAGGAGAGTAGCCCACCTCCCCCAACCCTTCCCCCCCATAACTCCCAACCTCCCACCACTCCCACCAAGTGCTGGACTCACATCCAAAGTAACAGGAGAGGAAGAAGATGAGGCTGAAGATGAGAAGGAAAGTCACATCTGTCTCCAGGATCCCTGCCGATTTGGTAGAAGGAGGAAAGGGTTCAGTCAGACTGGGTGTCAGCAGGCACCCCATTCTAGAGTCCCACAAAGATCCTGGCTTTCGGGTCCCCATATGCTCACCAAACTCATCGGCTGAGAAATGCCGTGTCCAGAAGGACTTGCCATTGGTGAGGACCATTTCATACTCCAGCTGCAGCCCATCTCCCTGTGGAGAGTGTGGAGGCCTGAGCAGGTAGGGGGGCCTGGGCAGCCAGGGGGCCAGCAGCAAGGCAAGGAGGAGGAGGCCCAGGTGGCCATCCCAGCCCCTTACCCCACACTTGCTGAGTGCGATGTACCACCACCTTTCACGCACGGAGCGGAAGCTTCGGCCGCTGGAGCAGCTCAGGTAACGGGTTCCCTCCTCTGACACTACCTGGGAAAGTGAAAGAAAGGTGAAGCCTCTCTGTGCAGCCCCCAAGCCCTCGGCCTTCAGCACCTGCCCACTCCCCCAGACTGGGCCTATACCTGACAGCCTGACCAGGCGTACTGGGTGGTGAGGTTGATGACCTGGTTGTTCTCGGGCCTGATCACGGACTCCTTGGCCAGGCAGTCCTGGAGAAGGCAAGGACATGGTCACCCCCTGACCAGCCTCAACCTTCCCTCCTCCCCCCCCATATGCCCTCACGGCCTTCACCTTGTCCCCTGCCTTGTACACAGCTGGCCACTGGGATGGGTCATCGAAATAGAGGAGGATGTTCTGACAGCACTTGGCCTGCAGACCCAGAGATTTACAAGTTTGGGGGAGTCCGGGGAGCTGGGATGGCCCTTGCCTTGGGAGACAGAGGGAGTCTCCAGCCTCAGCAAGGAGACTAGTCAGGGAAGTCTCACCTCAGGGTATCGGAAGCGGAAGTCCAGTCGGCCATAATCCGAAAGAAAGCAAAATCTTGTCAGGAAGAGCCAGTCCTGGAAAAGGGGCCCAGTCCTGCTGAGTCCTCTGAGAACTCTCCTCCACTCCACGGGCCCCCAACTTTCCTTCCCTACCCTTGGGTACCTGATTTCCCAAGAAGCATTAACGGGACCAAGTTACCTCCCAAATTCTTCTGTGATCCCTTTGCCTTTTGTGTCCAGGATTCTTGCCTCAGGTGCCTCCCCACCCCAAGTTATTTTGTCCCCTCAAAACACTTCTCCCATTTTCCCCAGTGCCCTGAGAAAGACCCTGGGGGGCAAGATACCCACCCCAGCCACGTTCAGTCCCAGACACCATCTGACTGCCATCACCCCCCCCCGGGGAGTTATGCACACACATGTCCCCCCCCACGGGAGTCCCAGAGACCATCTTGTCCTGGGGAATATCCCAAACGGCCCTCTCCCGACCCTGAGCAGAAGTGTGAACTCAAGGCTCTCCGCGGAGTGAAAAGTGCTGTCCCTTCAGCACCACCTCGGCGTTTCCCCCCCCACCCCCACCCTAAACTCTGACTCTCCCAACCCGTCCCTCCTCACCGCCCAGCTCTGACCTCAATGTCCCTCCTATAACCCCCAAGTCTCTTCTCTACCCCACAGCCTCATCACTGACCCAGTCCTCCCACCCACCCCCAACACCAGCCCCATTCTCCCGGCGGCTCCCAGGGACTGCCGGGGACGGGCGGCAGGGGGCGGGGCGGCACCCTCCTCCCTCCCTTCCCTCCAGTCCCCGGGGCCCGGCGGGTGGCATGGGAGGGCCCAGCGCGCTCACCTCCTTGGAACTGAGGTTGCCCCGCACGTACTTGGCCCGAGCGCGGGGGGGGCAATGGCAGCAGCAGGAGCAGCAGCGGCGGCAGCAGGCGGCGCATAGCGGGCGCGCGCGGGGGCTCCATTCCGCCCGCTACGGGCCCCGGCACCGGCCCCAGCTCTGCTCCGGCTCCCGCTCTGCTCCGCTCCGGCCCGGCGACGGCGGCGAGAGCGCGCGGGCCGGCCAGCGCGCGCCCCCGATTAAAGGGGCCGCCGGGCGCCACGCTCCCCGCCCCCTACGCCGGGGTGCCCTGGTCTGGCGCCTTCTCAATCGGTGTGAGAGAGGGCGCTCCTTTCCTAGCCTCTCAACCCCGCCCCAGCCTCCCCTCTGGGAGTGTCCCTGACACCTCTGGCTCCCCATGTCCTACACTGAACTCCCATTCCCCCAAGCCCTTCCTCCTCCTCTAGACTGCCATCTTGGGATGACCCCCAACCCACAGACCCCAACTCTGTCCTGACCTCCCCCAAATTTAGTCCCCAAACTCCTCTTTGCTCATCCCCGCTGGCATGACAGCCATCCCCATCTGTGTCCTCCCAAGATCCCATGGGCTCCGTGAAGTGCCCAGAGACATAAGAGGCGGGAGAGGGCAAACTACTTGTTCTGGGTCACAAAAGACAGAGATGGCACAACCCTGGGCCACAACCACTACACTCCATTGCCTGACCCTGTCCAGTCACGGCTCACCAGGGTGTGAAACCTGCTCATTGCCTCAGAAGAGGTGGTGCTGTGAGAAGCCCAGAGAGGGCTGAAATCAACTGCCTGAGTTCAAAACCCAACATTACCACTTTCTCATTAGACCTCAGCCAAGTCCTGTAATCTCCCAGTTCAGTCTCCTACCAGCTGGTTCCAACCTTATGGTTTCCCAGTGGGCAATGGGATCCCTGGAAAAGCTTTAAAGAGTAGCATCCAAGTCCCTCAGCTTCCTTTTCCTGATCAGATTCCAGCAAACATTTCTAGCTTCGTTCCTCCCCCTCCTCTGCAAAAAATGTGCTGCTCCTCAAAATATCATTTTATGAAACTTTCTAAGCCAGGGGCCAGGCAGGAAACATAAGGGCATGAAACACTTCGGTGTAAACCCCATGAACAGGCGGCCTCGGCTCCTCGGTTTGAGCCAGTTGTTGCCAGAAGGGATAGTAGATCTGCTGCCAGATCTTTTCTTTCTTTCTTTCCTTTTTTTTTTTTTTTACCCCAGAGAAGCCAGAAATGTGTTGGGCTTTTTTGGTTTTGCTTTTGTTTTAAAGCAAACTGGTCTGTAATAGTAGGCAATTAATTAAAAAATGTAAAATGTATCTTGGGCCAAAGTAAAAAGTCTGGAAGGCAGGTTCAGGCCTCTTCTCCCTCTCCTGTCATGATCCTGCAAACACAGTCCCTGTGCCTGCTGGACCAGGAGCCCATCAACAGCAGGGCCTGGACGTGACTCACTCTAGGTCCCAGGATAGCCTAGGAATATGCACTACATGCTCATACTGTCCCACAGAACAGCGTTCCTAGTATTGCCTGAAATGTTCTTTTCCTCCACTACTGGTAAGTTTTTATTCATCTTAAGACTTGTAAAGGTCTAGGTCTGCTCCCTTCTGAACAACTCCCTCATCACCAGGGCAGAATCATCACTCCTTCCTTACACTCCTGGCATATAGTTGGCTTCGCTGGGTGAATGTGTGGAACTGACTAAAGCCCCAGGTTTCCCCAGCTCTCTGGCCCCTCAAACCCTAGGAAGGTGATAAGTGACGGCATCTTCCCCTCCATCTTGGACCCAGAACTCAGAGCAAAGCAAAACTGCTATCCTTGGTCAGCTACTCACTGAAAATCAAGGGGACCATGTAGAAGGTACTTTATTGAGGTGATTAGGAGTACCCCCGGCCCAGCCTCAGCCCCCTCAGTACAGTCTCATGGGTGGAAAGGACCAGGCCTCTGGGCTGCTCTGGGCCACTACCCAGGAGAGGCTGGGCAGTGGGGCAGGAGGGCTGGGGCTCCAGTCCAGGGCAGAGGTTCCAGGCAACAAGGGTGATGGTGGCTGAAGCAGGGGTTGTTGCGGCCCGACCCCCCAGGGCCGGGGAGGGGGCGGTGTGGCTACGAGCCAGATGCTTTTCAGCAGGTCAAAGGCTGTTGGGGGGCCCCAGGCTGCCCCGGATGGTGAAGGCAACAAGGGCAAGGGTGGTGGCCAGGGACCTTTTGGCGGTGCCAGGCTCACCCTGTGCACCATGGGAGTGCTGGAGGTATGAGAAATAGCAAAGGTAAGCTCCTTTGTCCTCCGTTGCCTCCTCTGCCTCCCCTCCCCTAGGGCCTGCTCGGGGCTGCTGATCCAGGAGGGTGTCATCCTTTGGCTTTCAGGGCCTCCAGGCTTGGTCCCTGGCACAAAGGAAAAAAGCATGGGGGATAGCTGAGCTAGAGCAGACAGGGGAAGGGGAATACAGGGAGCGGGAGACAGGCTCACCTGGTAAGGATGGCTGGAAGTCATGGAGCACCAGGGTGAGGTCAGGCACACAGCCATGGCAGGACTGTAAGGTGCCCACAATGGCATCCCTGGCTTCTTGCACTAGGTTCCTCCTGGGGAAGGCCTGTGGCAGAATCAGCTGGCACTGCAGCTCCTCCAGCAGCTGTCCCAAGCCAGGGATCTCTGGGGGACTGGGTGGGCCTGGGCCCGAGCCTCTAGGAACCTGGTTCTCCTTGCCCCTTGACTGCAGGGCCGGTTCTTGGGCCCGGCTTGGGCTTGGGGAGGGTTTGGTGGGGAATGAAGGGGTGCCTGGCTCCAGGGACTCACAGCTAAGCAGCCGTGCCACGTCCAGAGATTTCACTTCATGGTTGAAGAGACCCCGGTGCTCCCGGCTCAGCCGGCCCTGGGTTATGACCACAAGCTTGGGAGCGGTAGGGGCCACAGAGAGATCCTGACTGGCCACAGGAGGATCCTGACGGGTCAATGGCCGGCGGTTGCCCATCAGGGCCTCATTGCGCTCCCGCCTGGTCTTCCGACGGCGCACACGACCAGGTTTCTCAGACCGCTGGAAAGGCTGGGGGGCTGGCCCCCAGGGGTCCATTGTGTCCTGGAAGAAAAAGCTAGGATGGTCATCGGTATACAGGTAATCAGGAACTAAAAGTGAATGGTGAGAAGAAGAGATGGTTTGGGGTGAGGTGGAAATACTACTTACAGAGATGAGATGGGAGTAAGGTAGTGGGGAGGGAGCGACTGGCAAAGGTTTGGTCAGGGAAGGAGTCAGAGAGGTCGGATGGGGTCAAGGGAGTCGCGGTGAATGGGAAGATCCTTGGCTATGGATGTCAGGGAATAGAGAGGGTTACAGAGTGGCGGGACATAACGAAATAGCTAAAAGATGGGGGGGTGGGGGGGGGGATGGGATCATGAGACCACAGGTATCTGCTGAACCAGTAAGGGATTGTGGACAGAGGAAAAATCCAAGGATAGAGGAGGTACTGGAGAATGCAGAAAGAGATGGCAGAGGGAGAAAGGCAGAAGAGATAAATAGCAGAAAAGAAGCTGGAGAGGCTGAGAAGACCTCGGGAAAGCAGAAAGGGCAACGGCGGAGCTACCAGGACTTAGGGCCTAGTCACAGGACCAGCGAGGTGGCCTAGGGTAGGAGACGAGGCAAGGGTGGGCAGTTGAGGTTAGGGAGGGAGGGAACGGATGGTGGGGGCAGGGCGTGGAGCATCTCACCTTCTCCTGGACCAACGAACCCTGCCCCCCACCTACCCCACGTGGCTGTGGGGTGCAGTGGCTTCTTTTCCGCGGTAACCCTAGCTCACGACGTACTGGGGTCTCTTCGGGGCCTCACGCTGGGCCTCCTGCGTACAACACGCATGCGTGTGCCCTCCCACTCCCTCTAGCTTCCTGCTCCCAGGACTTCCGGCTCCCTCCCGCCAGGCACGAGGCACCGGGTGCCGGTTATAGTCCCACCCATTCCAGCCTTACTGTCAGAAACATCTCTCATTTGTCCTTAGACACCTCCCATCCACCAATTGGTTGTGAGGCCCACTGGGGCCCACCCCCTTCCTGAGTGCTGATTGGTTTAGATGTCTATTAGCGGACTTTCTGTCTGGAAAGTGCGATGAGGCGAGGCAGAAGGGGAGAAGGGGCCATCGTAGTCTTTATGTGCAGCCGGTCACCAGGCAGTCACGGAATTCTTTCCCAATCTGTGTGGAGTCATTCAGAACTTGGATCTGCAGTTAGACTACCCAGCTTCAAATGCCCAAGCTGGCATGTTTGAGTTGTGTGACATGGAAAACTGTGTAACTGCCAAGACCCTCAGTGTCCTAATTTGTAAAATGGAGTTGGGAGGAGTACCTCCTTCTTCATGTGGTGGCTGTATGAAATGAGCGAATATACCTAACTTGAAACAGTTCTCGATTTGAATGAAATGAATGCCTCAAAGCTGTTTATTGCTAAGCTTTGCCTCCAGAAGCCCTTCTCTACCTTTCCAATTTATCTATCTACACTTGCTCCCTCAGACTTTTTTTTTTTTTTTTAAGATGTATTTATCATGGGGCATCTGGGTGGCTCAGTTGGTTGAGTGTCTGCCTTCAGCTCAGGTCATGATCTCAGGGTCCTGGAATTGAGATCCGCATTGGGCTCCCTGCTCAGTGGAGAGCTTGCTCGTCCCTCTCCCTCTGCCCTTACCCCAGCTCATGCTCTCAAATTAATTAATTAATCTTTTTCTTTTAAGTTGTATTTATCTACTTAAGAGAGAGCGAGCTTGAACAACGGGAGGGGCAGAAGGAGAAGGAGAGAATCCTCAAGCAGGCTCCCTGCTGAGCGCAGAGCAGGATGCTCAGGACCCTGAGATCGTGACCTGAACTGAAATCAAGAGTTGGCAGCCACCCAGGTGCCACCCCCGCCCCCCCCCCACAGCCCAAGCCTTTAAAATCAAGTTATGGCCAAAGTATTTCCCATGCCCTAATAAGCCTTATTACCCATGTAATACTGCTTACCCAGTCTTCCTGACTTTTCAAGGCCTAACTCAAATACAACTAGGAAACCTCTCACCCTCAGAGTCCTTCTCTTCCTCCTCCTCCTTCTCTACTTCTCTTAATCACAACCTTGATCCTTCTCCCAGCTGTGTCTCATCTCTCTTCCCCAAAACACTGGGACGAGGCCAGGATCTGACCCATTCATTTAATATTCATTCAAGTTCTTGGTACTATGAGTCAGACCCTGTTCAGGCTAGTGGATGGAGGCAAAACATTAACATGGTAAATAGGACGATCTCAGTATCAACCTACCTAGAAAGAATCAACAGATGGAAAGGTTCCATCTGGGAGTAGAGCTACAGGAATATAACCAGGAAGTTTAGGGGGGCTGGGGACCCCCCCCAACCTGGTCCCTGAGAACAGGAAGAGCTGGGAAGACTTGAGATTAATATGGGGAGTTGTGGGGGGGGGGTACTTTAGGTGGCTTTGGCTATGGATGTAGGTTTCAGAGCCCAGACACACCTGTGGGTTTAGGGAGGGGAACCGAGGCCACGAATCTGCAAGATGAGCTGGACGGGAGGGGCGCCAGGCTGGACCTGGGCCTTGTGGCATCTCTAGTTTCCTTTCTCTTTCTGCAGCTTCTGGGTCCCTCTTTGCAGCACCTGTGGTGTATGTAATGCAAAGATGGTAGTTTAGATTTTATGCCACAAAAACTGGTGCTTTTGAGAGGGGGTCTGGGATGGGGGCACGAACATATAAGCTCACTAAAACCGTGGTGGTGCCTTAGCCTTACAAGTGAGGCTCTGTTTTTCACATTTTGCCATCTTCCTTTTTTCTCCCCACATCAGTAGAAAATGGGAACGTCCCCTCCTAGCCAGGTGCGTACGAGTCACCCCCTCAAGGGATCCAGGAATGGACTCGTCCACTCACTCCCCTCCCCCCACCACCACGTGAATGAGACGTACAGAGCTAGTGATCTCTCACACACACACAGCTGGTGATCTCTCTCTCTTTCTCTCTCTCACACACACAGCTGGTGATCCCTTCCGCACATTTCTCGCCCTATAGCAAACGGTTTCTCCCCTCAAGGAAAGAGTCTAGATTCCACCACCCCCCCGCCAATTCTCGGCCTTTCAGGTAGCTCGCCCCTCCCCCTGACGCAGGTGTGGTGGTTTCTCCCTTCCCCCACGGGTGCTGCCTGGTCTCGCCACTGTCCCCAGGCGCCCGGGTGCTTTAGCAGCCGCCGCCCGAGAAAGAGTGGCCTGGGCGGGAAGCGCTGGACGAGTCCACTGCACGGCCGCCGCGGGGGAAGCATGGGCTCCCGATTCTACCTCCCCTTCTAAGTGAAGGTTTCCGCTACTGCAGAGGAGGCGGCGCCCGGGATCCGCCGTTGTCCTCGCTGGACTGCGGGCGTCGGGACCGTCCATTGTTGCCGGGAAGGGAGGGGTGGGCGTGGCAGAGCTCCTCGGCCAACTCTCCCGGGTCGGCCCCGCTCGCCCATCCTGCAGGAGCTGCGGCGCCAAGATGAGCGGAGAGGAGAACCCAGCCAGCAAGGCCACGCCGGTGCAGGACGTGCAGGGCGACGGACGCTGGATGTCCCTGGTGAGCGACCAGGCCCGCGTACTCAGGAGTCCGGGAGGGGCCTCGAGAGAGCAGCTGTTTGGCGCCGCTCTCTGTACGTGATTAGGAAACCCGGCAATCGGGGTGGTGCTGCCTAAGGAAGCGGAGCGAGGCGGGCCCAGAAGGGCGCCTGTCACTGACTCTCCCTTGTACCTCCCCATAGCACCATCGGTTCGTGGCCGACAGCAAAGATAAGGAACCCGAAGTCGTCTTTATCGGGGACTCGTTGGTCCAGCTAATGCACCAGTGCGAGGTGAGACTCGTCCCGGTCCCCCTGCCCCACCCCGACCTGTGCCCTCACAGACACACCTGGATCAGAGGCGGGGCCAGAAGGAGTATGAGGTACCCAAAATAGCCTCAGGCAGCATCCCACACCCAAAATCTTGGTGTAAGGTGCAACATTGTACCGACAAGGAACTGTGTGACCTGTCTTTGTCAGTTGGAGGCTTTCTTGCAAGATTGCCTGAGGTGAGACTCTATGGTTTGCTTAAGAGAGTGCACAGCCCGAATGGATGGATATTCACAAAGAATGGTTATCCTCAAAGCCCTAGTGTTTCTGCGAAATGAAAGTCAACTGGAATAGCTCTCCACAAAGGGGGCCCAGTTGTGTTACCTTTCCACTAAGTGAGGTCAAACTGTAATGGTTTTCATCGGCTGTAAGGCTAGTAGTTCAGTGCATGACTCAAGCTGAATGGGTTTCCATAAAGCGAGTCTTGCTTCTATGAGTCTCCAGGAAAGGGAGACTAGACTAAGTTTGCATCAGGTGAGGTTTTGACCAAACTGCTTCCATAAGGCAGGGCCGGCTCTTCCTTGCTGAATGAAATTTGGTGCATACTCGGACAGAGGGCGGTGGTCCCTGCTGCTGTCGCCCCTGTGCCCACACCACTTCTTGCCCACAGATCTGGCGGGAACTCTTTTCTCCTCTGCACGCACTTAACTTTGGCATTGGCAGTGATAGCACGCAACATGTGCTTTGGCGGCTGGAGAATGGGGAGCTGGAACACATCCGACCCAAGGTAAGCAGAGCTTGGGTGGGCAGCGAAAGCCCCCTATAAGCCTCCCCCTTTACCTCTGCTTCCTGCCTCTCTTTCCACAGATTGTGGTGGTCTGGGTGGGTACCAACAACCATGGGCACACAGCAGAGCAAGTGACTGGTGGCATCAAGGCCATTGTGGAACTGGTGAACCAGCGGCAGCCCCAGGCCCGCGTCGTGGTGCTGGTGAGAGGTTGGGGGGCGGTGTCAGGGAAGAGAGAATGGCAGTGGCCCGGGACGCCCTCAGGTGCAACCGCAGCTGGTTCTGGGGAGCAGGGCAGCAGAGCAGTGACTTTCATGCAGAAGCTCACATCAAAGCTTGCTGGAGACCCAGCAACTGCAGTTAAGGTCACGTTCAGGGACCAGGGAGCCTCTTTTGTTCAAGAAACTGCTGAAGGTTCTGGGGGTGTTGCCAAACCAAAAACAATTAGAAGTTGTCAGACATTCCCAGGGCAAATCCAGGCTCCATCACTTCTAACTGGAACCTTTCCTCCTCAGAAAGAGGGATTGACCCTTTGCCACGCTGTTGATATTTTTAGGATTGATACTTGGAAAAGATACAAACACCCAAAAGGTTCTTGCTGAATTGGGGTCTCAGATGCAATATTGGGAATCATCCCGCCAATCCCCCACTTTCCCATCACTAGTATATTGCACAGCTGGGGACTCCGTGGTGAGGGTGAGCTGTTTGGCCCAGAGCACAGATGCCAGTAGGATGTCTCCTCATGACTCTTGGTGCCCTTCCTCAGGGCCTGCTTCCGAGGGGCCAGCACCCTAACCCACTTCGTGAGAAAAACCGACGGGTGAACGAGCTAGTCCGAGCAGCACTGGCTGGCCACCCACGGGCCCACTTCCTGGATGCCGACCCCGGCTTTGTGCACTCAGATGGTACCATAAGTCACCATGACATGTACGATTACCTGCACCTGAGCCGCCTGGGCTACACACCCGTCTGTCGAGCCCTGCACTCCCTGCTTCTGCGTCTGCTGGCCCAAGACCAGGGCCAGGGGGTCCCCCTGCCAGAGGCCGCACCCTAAGCATTCTCCCTCCCCGACATTAAATTTTCGTTCCTTAGTCTCCTGTTTCTTGCTTTATGGGACAGCCCTTCTAGGTCCCTCCACCTCCACCTCGACCTCGACCTCTGTGACCCTGGAGCTCCGGAGGGTGTTCTGTTTCCACCCAAAGCAGGGATCGGCCGATCCATCCAGGCCCTCCGGTTCTTGTGGAGTCTGGCAGGTTTCTACTACCAGTAACACTAAACGCAGGCCCCACCCATCAGTAACACACTG